GTCTTTTTCCTTTTGCTAAATCAGCTTTCAGCCCCCACACTCCCCTGGTGTAGCTCTCAAGTCTATTGGTCTTTACATTAGTTCTTGGTAAATTGGAAAAATACAAGTCATAGAATCATTTACATTGGAAAAACCCTCTAAGGTCACCCAGTCCAACCATTAACCCAGCACTGCCATGCCCACCACTAACCATGTCCCCAAGTACCACATCTGCATCTCTCCAGGGATGGTGATTCCACCAGTGCCTGGGGCAGCCTGTGCCAGGGCTTGACAACTCTTTCCATGAAGATCTTTTCCCTGATATCCAATCTAAACCTGCCTTGGAGCAGCTTGAGGCTAATTCCTCTTGTCCTGTTGCTTGTTAGGTGGGAGAAGAGACCAACCCCCACCTACAGTCTCCTTTCAGGGAGTTGTAGAGAGTGAGAAGTTCCTCCCTGAGCCTCCTTTTCTTCAGGCTGAGCCTCCCCAACTCCCTCAGCCTCTCCTTATCAAACTTGTGCTCCAGCCCCTTCCCCAGCTCTGTTCCCTTCTCTGGACATGCTCCAGCACCTCAGTGTCTTAACAAAGCAGAAAGCAAATTTGTAAGTTACTGGGTTGATTATTTAGTCAGTAAAAGCAAACTGGTGTTTGCATAGTGGGTTTTTAGTTCTGTCAAAGAACTTTTGTAGACGACTTTAAATATTTATGGCAGTGCTAGTAATTATTTGAAAATCTGTAGACTTTTTAGAAATGATGTAGGTGTTAAAGATGTTTTGGTAGAATTACTTTGTGATTTTTGCAAAGGCAATGCATTCTGCAAAGTTGTGGCAATGATTTACCTAGCAGGATTTTTTTTTCTCAGAGTCGAAAAGGGTTGTGGCTCAAGAAGAGGCATTTCTGATTTCCCTACTGCCATCCTAAAATGGATTATATCTATTTGTACAGAAATGCTGGTTTTCTATCTAGCTGGAACAAAGCTGCAATGTGGGTTGTTTGGGTTTTTACTTTATTATGGTGAGGTTTTTTTGTAATTAGGTAAAATTTATACCTGCTTATGTGCATAACCCTTAGTTTGGTTGTAATTCAGCAAAATCTGACTCTGTACATAAACATCAGTGTGCAGTTCATCTGAGCTGTTGTAAAGCCAGAAGATGGGATTCTGTTGGAACTAGATGGTCTTTAAGGTCCCTTCCAACCTAACCCAGTGTGTGATTCTGTAATTCTGTGGTTCTCAGCTCCTGCAGTATCTCAGCTCATTTGCTGACGCATCCCTGTAGCACTTCACTTGTGTGATGCTTTACCTTTATGAAACACTTGGATAAATTATATCTATGTAAGCTTTGTAGCAGCAATTCCTGTGTTTTACCTCTTTATAGTTGAAAAAAAAAAAACCTGGAAGAAATTAAATCCATTGCAGAGGGCAGAAAGTGAGTTTGCATCAGGCTGAAGTGTTACAATTGCAGAAACAAGTACTTAACCTAATTATGTATTTAATAGTTAAATTAGCATTTCCTTTACCATTTCAGTAAGTGCTCATTCCCATTATTAAGGCTACCTTTAAAGAGTAGTGCTCAGCACGACTCCTGCTTTGTGCTTAGACTGCCTTGCTGATTTGGATGTGATGTTTTGCTGCTCTGGAATTAACACTGACCCAAACGATTGGGATTTGGAGCAGAAAGTTATATGTTTCGACTGAAAATGGTGAAAAGATGTGCTGTAAAATTTTAACTATCTGGTACTTCTTGGAAATCCCTTTCTGAGTTACATACCTTTTTAAATCCAGAGTTGAACTTCAGCACTTACCTTGCTCTATGTGAGGACACCTCTCTGGCTCCTGAGAGATGGGAAATGCCACTACCCTCTCCAGATCTGCAGTAACAAGGGGGTGGATGTACTCACTGACCTTGGTCCAGGTGTCCATATCCTGGCTGGGGATATCCATGGGGACAGATCTGGAGTTGTAACTCCCACCCTCTTGTCCAGTTGGGTGAAGCATGGACCATTCTTCTTCCCTTCAGATTCCATCACCTCTCTTCTCCCAACATTTTTCATCATTTGGATCCCCAGATTTTTTCATGCAGAAGTTTCCTGAGCTAGTTTGCATGATATCATCCCCAGAACAAATTACTAGCTCATCGAAATAATTGCCTTTAAATACCAGTGAGCTTTGCAATTTTCTGCTTAGAAAGAAGAAGAGGTAGTGACCGCAAAGCTCTGTCTCTCTCCATTGTTTCATTAACAACAAGGTATAAACTGAATTTTCCCTAAACCATAAGTAATCCTCGAGGGTAGCAAGCTGGGGCAGAGGGTGCAGAGGCAGTGGTGGGGGTGGGGATGTGGTGGCAGCATGGTGACTGGAGTGCCATCCCCTTCCTCAGCTGCTAATCCAGGTGCTCAGTGCCAGTAATCCAACATTTTGAGTGGGGTTTTGCAGCAGGACTAGTCCATTCCAAGCTGAGAGTAATGTAAGTACACCAAGTTACACCCAAAGTTAGGGTGAGGTAGTTCAGTGGTAGCTTGGGGTGTAACCCTTTCACTTGAAAGTCCTGCAAGCTATAAACTGCTAGAAAAAGAAGAAGAGTGCATGGAAATGGCTAGTCCACCTCCACCCACCTCCAGTGGAGCCACTAGCTCATGCCACAGAGCTTCAGAAGGGTTGTGAGGTCTGAAGCCAATAGTCCTCACTTGCTTTCATGGCAAGATGCAACAGCATCATCTACCAGACAGCAGAGGAGCTGTGTGTCCAGTGTCCCTCTGGTCCTGTCCTCATCCTTGAGGTCGTGTGACTGTACAGGACTGAAGTCACAACAAAGCTAAGTACAATAGGAATGGCTTATTTTCACTTTCCTAACTCCCCAGCTCGATAAAGAACATAACCCACAAGTTCACCCTGGCATTTCCATGCAGATTTAATAATGCTGTAGTTTGGGGAAGGGACTGGTTTTATTAAGATTTCATTTTGCACAATAAATCACTGCATATTTTCTGATATGCTACGAAGTATAAGAATAAATAATTAAAACTAAACTACCCGTACTTGTCAAAATAAATGATTTATCATAGTTTGGGATACAGCATCTTTGAATTTTTTATTGTTTGATTCCCAGAATATTCTAATTTCCAATCAGGGAAGTTAATGAAGCTCCAATATACTTCGCTGCATTTGCAGCACAGTTGTGTGACTGTTTATTTCACACAGATATTTATGGGTAGCACTTTTCTGTACCTTTTCAAGTTTACACCTTTCCCATCAGTGTTTATGGCAGTAAGTCACGAACCTTTGGGATGGCAAATTTATTCAAATGAATTATCATTCTGTTTCTGTACTTCAGCAACTTGGAGTCACCCAGATGTGCTTGAGAAATACTGAGGTTTCTGCTGGAAAGAATAATTCCTAAGTTGTGAAAACAGAAATGCTTTGGAGTGTTAAGTTCTTGAAATTACCAACTCATTTTAAGGCTTTAATTTTAAGGTTTAAATATTGAGTCTAAGTTTGTGGTTTCATGCCATTGATGTATCCAGATCTGTTTGCTGGTTTTATACATTGTTCACATAGTTTGAAGTAGAAATCTGATGTGCTTTGTAGTTTGAGCTTCCTGAAAAAAAAGGTACTTTTTTCACTTTTAAAAAGAAAAGAGAAGGACTTTGGTTAGGGTTGGTTGATCCTGAGTTATTGCATTTTAACCTGGAGGAGGAGGAAATAGGTTTGAAAAGAAACTCAGCTATAGGTTTCCTTAGATTTTGGGAGTAGTAACAGAAACAGAACATGAGACCTTTTTTTAGTGGACTATATTGTGTAAGCTATAGAGGAATTAATTTGTTTTCTCCTGTTATCCCTTTGGAAAAACAAAATGTTTTCACTGGTTTTCTTTCCATCTTTGCAGTGCTGATAGTGCTCCCAGATTTCTCCTTATTTTTTTCTGGGGCAAGAAAGACAGATAAAGAAAATTCTGTTATCACTCAAACAAGAACAAAAAATACAGAACCCTTTATTAAAGATTCTAGGCTTCAA